ATTAGTCTTTAATTCCAACCTTCCAACATTAGCCTTTTCTTCTTTTAATGATTTATGAATCTGTTTTTTTTCCAGCATGTTTCTGAGCCTGAGTCCCTCAGGCAGCGGCTGATCTGTGTGAATCAGTCTGAGGTCAGCGTGGGCCTCGTCACTGGCCTTCTGAAAGAGGTTGCATCCGTTGCTCCGTTTGTCAACTACCTGGTCCTCGCTGATACAGTATGTCTGCCCAAACAATCTGAAGCTGCTCTATTTAACTGTTTTAACAGGAGATTTTACCAGCTCAGGGTGTATTTGCCACATTTGGTCTCCACGGTCCAAACCTGCTGTTCTACAGGAGTTAATACATCGATACAAACCCTGGTTCTGACCAAACACCCAGACTAAAAGCGCTTCCAGACTCTGGTTCAGTTAGTTTCTGCCTAAATAAGAACCATCCAACCGTTTTGGATACCATAGCAGTGAGCATTCACTGCAAAACATTTCAATCTAAGTCTATTTCTTTTAAAGTAAGTGTTTTTTGTTGTTGTTCTTTTCTTGAATGAAGCAGGTAAGTTAGACATTTTTCAAATTAAATAAAAATATTAACATTTCAAATAATAAAAAAACAACTGCAGCCTCTTATTTCAATATCAAATTGTCTTATTTTAAGGCTAGAAATGTAGTGCTGAAATCACACTTGGTCTGCCAGAGGTTGCTTAGCAAGTGTGCTGTGGGTCTGAAAGGTACAAATAAAATGTAAAGGATGCTCCTCTGGGTCTGTACTGTAACACCTGTGGCTTTGTGATGCTACTATGATATAGCATAAAGAAATGAAAAGCAAATGAAAAGAAGAAAGGTCCACCTTTGGTCTGGATCAGAGAATAGAACCAAATGACGCCTCCTCTTTGTATGATTTCACTCTTAGTGGCATCATTTTTATTTATATATTCAATAGAAAAAAAGCTGCTAATGTTCACACTCTAAATGGTACATCAAAATGAAAACAAGAAACATATTCTGTTTGTTTCTCACTAGTTTCCCTTCTCTATTTGCTCCAGATCTACATAGAAATGTGTGAATCCAGCGGTGCAGCTCAGCTGCTGAGCTCAAAGAGCAGCCTGTCTGAGCGGACCGGTTGGTGAGTTTGATAAATGTCTGATTCGAGTTTCTCAGTGTTTACAGACTCTGAACAATTGTCTCTCTGCTCCATAGTGGGAAGGTTCAAGGCATCCGTCTGTGAGTATCTGAGCACTTTTTTTGTTGTTGTTTTTTTTTTTTTAGATCACCATGTGTAAAATATCCATCCATAAAAGGTTTCAACAGCCAAACATTTTTCAGCAGTTTTCAATTTTCTGACCTTTAAAGTTTTATATCAATGTAACCTGTATCTACTCTGCACATTGAAGTATTGATTTCCATGTTAATAGTTAAATGGTTTGAAAAACTATATTAGCTCAGATCCTATGGTTTTAGGTTTAAGATATTGGGAAATACTTTAGATACGTTCCAGGACTGTGTTTTTCCTATAAGATATGTTCCTGTTTTCAGTTTGAAGAACCAGGATCAGAGTTCAGAGGACTTAGAAGTTATCTCCTCAGACGTTGCAATGGAGGCAGCAGTAGAGGACGCTGCTCCAGGAACCGTTAAAACTTCAGATGGTCATCGACCTGCAGATGGGGTCCAGTCTGGTCGCTCTGAAACCTCCTGGCTCGGTCCTGATAGTCTGAAGACCAAAGATGAAACTTGTGAGGAGCAGCAGAGGGGAGCAGGGGCTTCTGTCACTGAGCGAGAAGAATTTAAGGGAAAAGATCAGACAGAAGGTGAAAATGATCATACAAACCCTGAAATTCCTCGTGAGACGTCACCTGAAGCCGAAATAGGAAACACAGAGGAAGGGGAAAGGGGAAATAAGGAGTTTGATTCAGTAGACGATCAGCCGGTGAAAATGGCGAAAGACTTGGAGGGCGGTGACAAAGAAGAAGAAGAAGTGACATTTCAGAAAGATCATGGAGCGACCAGGAGGAGCAGCGCCAGGATCAAGAAGTCTAAAACCAAAGAAGAAGAGAAATTAACTAAAAAAACAAGGACGATGCATAAAAAATGTCAAGAACAAGGAGGAAATGGGGATCAGATGACGACGGGTGAAGAGGATGAAGCTCCAGCTGGATCAGCAGTAAAAGGAACATGTGGCGCTAAGGCGGAGAGAGAACCTGACCAGGAGCAGGGGGCTGAGCGATTCGGTCCAGCGGAGAAGAGAACAAAATCCCAAACAAATACAAAAAAACAGTCTAAAGGTGAAACTGGAGAAGAAGAAGAAAGGGGCTCAGAGGTGAGAACATCTGTTAGATTGTCTTTCCAGAGGGACAACTCTGAATTCTGTTTTTCATCATGCTTTTATTTTATTTTTAGGTTCAAGTGGTTCTGAAGGAGGATGAGGAAATCAGGGCCGACACCCCGACAACTGTTACCAGCAGGGATGGAAACACCTCAGGTTTGTGTTTGGTTTTTAACCAGAGTTTATGTTTATTTCAGTTTTAGGTCAATCTGGATCTATCACCATGGTAACTATTTCTCCAGAGAAGGCTGGGTCATCTAGATCAGATATCAGAATTTAACACAGCTAAACTTTTATTTTTGTTAATGAATGTTTGTTTTTGTTTTTTTTGTCCACCAAACCTAAAACATCATAAAATAAATCCAGCTGTCCAATCAGGTTTATTGAGTTTATTAGATTAGATTAGAAAGATTTGTCATTTTGTATACACGTGTAAAACAAAAAGAAACTTCGTTTAGAACAATTCTTTAGACAATATAATTTTTTTTTAAATGCAGCCTTGAAAA